CCCTTGGTTTACTGCTGAACCAAGAAAACTTAATGATAGAGAGGGCTGGTCTGTTTGGAGACAACAATCATGCCACTGTTTTAAGCATTATACACACACAAATCTTTCTCTCTCACTACGTCTTACAAAACATGCTGTTTAAGCATTTATTAAGCAATAGGGCACTCTAATCTGTGATAAAGTTATTATATATATATATATATATATATATATTGTAAATATATCTCTGTAGTCATTACACAATATAGCTATTAAGGATGCACGCATTTCAGGCACTTTTATGTCCCCAGGATTGTTTTAATAATAAATAAATAATAATAAAAATTATATATATTAAACATGCACATTTTATCAAAAGTCAGTGGACTTGAGACGACAGTGTCAGTATGGAAGGCATTTTTGTGAAATTATGTTACCAAAAAAAAAAAAAAGTTGGAAAAGTTAGGATACATATATAGCCTTAGCAATTATTTCCTGTTTTGTGCTGGTCATATATTTAGCCATTGCCTTTGATAAAGAAAAATGATTTTTGTCTCATCTTGTTCAATATACGTGATACGATAAAATCATGAAATTAATGTAAAATCTCACACACCACACCACTGAATGCCAACACCCTGAACTTGATCACATTTGGCTGATTATAGTGTTTGACCCCCAAAGGTGATAATCAATGGACTAAAAATATAAAGCTTAAAGCCTGCCATTAAATGACACCGAGCCAATTATCACAATACAAACTCCATAAACACAGAAGGTGATTTTTCTTTCTGTACACAGTCTGACTGAGGCACTGTTTCGACTTTGTCAGACTTGTTAAAATATTGTATTTCATTTCTTTAGATGTTCATCTAAGGATATCCGAGCCTAAATTGTGGCTTAAGTCTTTCAATTTCCTCGGTGACACAGACAGAGTGTGTTCTGCTGACACAGCAGCCAAAGGGCGCAGCTATAATTGTAATCTGCCTTTCCCTTACTCGCCAGAAACGTGGAAATCTTCTGAGTGGCACAACAGTTAATTACAGCATCTTCAGCGGAGGATCCAGAAGAGGCAGTGTCAGGGCGGGCCGGCTCGCGATCCCTGAATGATCGCTACTGCCAAGTCTGCTGCTCTGTGGAGACTTAACAAAATGCACATACGACATGGTGAGGTCAGGTGCTGGGCACGCTCACAGATGAGAAGGAGCCAAATGGAGATTCCCTAGGATGTAAGCCACAGCTAGCTCTATAAGCTCTAATTTGAGTTCAAACAGCATCTTCGAGTTGCTGTTTGCGGCATGTCTTTGAGTCATGCATAAACAAAAGCTCGCTTAGGTGTTTCTGTGACCTCAAGATTAGGATTCTCAAGGAAAAGGGCATTAAGCCTGAAAAGAGATAACATTAACCTGTCAGCGGTCTTATCTGCTAGGTAAGAATCTTTTTTAAGAGCACAAAAACGTGGAAATTGCTCAACGCTCAAGCACATTTATCAAGACATATTGTTCTACAGCAGGCACAAATCATAGAGGAATCATCAGCAGAAAGCACGTACAACACTTACAACAACGCCCCAGCACAAACCTTTCACTAAAAAAGCTTAGGGACCGCAGACCCATAAGATTAAGGTGGTGCTTTTTATAACGAGCACATGGGTCAACATGCCAGCACGGCCAAAGCCCATTCAGACGATGGGAATGAAATAGTTGTGCTGTGAGTGTGGTTATTAAAAAAATGCCTCCTAACCACAGCAGCCTCCTATAAGAGAAGTAAAAAAACGAGGCAACTATGAAAAGGAAATAACAAATGAAAGCGAAATGCAGGTAGTAAGCATGTTCCATTAGGCAACCATTTTCAGTCTTTGATGCACGTTTACGAGACTACCATGATGCATGCGTGTGCATTCCTCTCCTTGTAAACAAGGCGCAGCGCATCTGGGTTCTACGTCAGAACGCTGGCTCCTGCGTCAGCAGCACCACACTCATGCATCGTGGTATACTATCATGAACATGCATTGAAGACTGACACTGAACAGAAGAAACTGTTGAATAATGTCGTTATTTTTGTTTTCTTTGCGTACAAAAAGTATTCATGTAACTTCATAAAATTAAGGTTGAACCACTGATGTCTTAACGATGTCCTTCCTACCTTTCTGGGCCTTGAACGTGTTAGTTGCGTTGCGGTCTATGCAGGGTCAGAAAGCTCTCAGAATTCATCAAAAATATCTTAATTTGTGTTCCGAAGATGAACAAAGGTCTTACTGGTTTGGAATGACATGAGGGTGAGTAATTAATGACAGAATTTTCATTTTTGGGTGAACCATCCCTTTAAATAAATATGTGGGTAGGTAGATAAGTAGGATCGTAAATAATAGGCAGGTAGTACAAGAAGAAAATAAGTAAGGATACCTCCTAGATTCTGTAGATAGATAGGTAAGTAGGTAGGTGGATCATTAGATAAGTAGTTAGGTAGGCAAAAAGGTTGAGTGGTAGGTAGGTAAAGGTAAAAAGAAAGTTAAAAAGATACACAGGTGGGTAGATATGTAAGTGGAAAGGTAAAGACAGGTTGACAAATAGATTGGTTGGTGGGAACATAAGTAGGATAGTAAAAAGATAGGCAGGTAGGTATGAGGGGAAGAAAATAACTAGGTAGTTTCTAGATAAGTAAGTGGGTACAGTAGGTGGATACGTAGGTAGGAAGGTGGGTATATAGGTAGGTAAAATGAATGGTAGATATAGGTAGTAGGGGAAGAAAATCGGGAGGTAGGTAGATATTGTATATGCGTAGTATGTGGGTAGGTGCATGGATAGGTAAATAAGTAGGTAGGTAAAAAGAAATGGTAGGTAGGTAGATGGGTTAATACTGTACATAGGTAGGTAAAGATGACAAACATGAGCACAAAATTGCTCTAAGAAAATAACTTTTCTAAAAAGAGCAGGACTGGACCTTGTCATCTCTGATCCTGTATTTATGCTCTAGAATAGAGTTCTAAATACACATCCTGTATCCTGTCTAAGCCACACTGCAAGAAGAATCTGTAGGCATCAAACTCCAGTTGACTTCACAGCACAATAACGGTTATATGCATAAATCCATCAAAAATATCTGAGGATGCAGCACACAACCTGCATAAATGCCTTTTTAGAATAATAGCCAAAGTCCAGAAACTCCCAACAATAAACTGCTCTTTAAATTATTAAAAGAACTGACCAAGTGAGACAACAACGACAGTGCAGCTCAGTTGGGAACACTGTTCAGGGAAACATTCTGTGAGGAGGCAGGAGAAAGTCAAGGGTGGCAATGTCAATAAAATCATTAAACAAACCTGAAACTCTTTTTCAACAACAGACACTTGGAAGGCTTTAAAACTGATGTCCCTTTCCCATAACAATCAGCAGGGATATTAGACTTCTCACTTAGAACTAAGCGTTCTGAGCAGACTCTTCATTTCAGTAACGCTGAGATCCAGATAGCATCAGTAGGTTTGAAAGATCTTTTAATCATTGGTTAAGTGTTTAGGTTTGTGAAAGGTGCCTGGGGAACAAGGATAAGGAAAACAGATGTGCAATTCCAGCCAAAAGAGTTGGTGAATCTTTCACTTTCTGCTATATGCAGAGACAAACATCTTCCAGTGCTTAGACATGAACTTTGTCTACATAGAATATCATCATCACAACACCCTGTGTGGTCCAACAAACAAAAAGAAGATAAAAAAAAAAAAAAGACAGGATCATGAAGGATCATGTAACACTGAAGACTGGAGTATATGTCTGCTGAAAATTCAACTTTACCATCACAGGCATAAATTACTTTTTTAAAAGATATTAAAATAGAAAATATATTGTAATAAAGTTTTTTACAATATTGCTGTTTTTACTGTATTTTTGATTAAATAAATATAGCTTTAGTAGTAAGTGTAAGCATGATTGTTCAAAAAAAGTTTTTTTTTTTTAAGTTAAAAGATCTCACTTTTTTTTAACAGTAGTATTTAACATAGTTTCACCTGTATTTACCCTTACATAAACAGCATGTAAAATAAAAATGTAGCTGGTTGATACAGGTCTGCTACATGTCAACCAGACAGTCGTTTCCTGTGCAAGTGGGCAGTTTTTGGCCAGAATCATGCAGCTGCAGTCTGGACTGGATATTATGTTGTTAGTTAAAACTCTGGGAGGCCCTGTACTAACACAATGAAATTGAACCAAACTAACATCAGCCAATAACAGTGAATTAGTGTGAAATATTGGGTTTTAATATGATACTAATTCTCTCCAAAACCTCAGAGACTCATGCCAGTGCTCATGTTGTTTATTTCATTAAAAGCGCAGGACTCACTTGTAGGTATTCATGTTGGGCTGCTCCGCGTCAGGAAAGCCAAGCATCCCACACACAACTCTGCTGCTGTTCAGACTCCAGCCTTTATCACACACCTGTCTCCATCTCCCAGCATGCTTTACTTCCACCACACCCTCCGTAACAAGAGCATGCTTCTTTGTAACCATCAAGATCGGCTTGAGACGGACTTCCTCGATCTTCACCCTACTGGCAGACTAGAGGAAGATTGAAAACATTTTCTCATGAGCATAAACTGCGATTGGAATCGTTCACCCAAAAATGAAACAATCTGCCATTGTTTACCCTCACATTGTTCCAAACCCTGAGTTATTTGATTATGTCCTGAAATGGCATGTATATGTCATGTAAATGTTATTAAAATGGCAAAAAGTACAATAAGAGCATAAAAAGTGGTCAATTGCAGCTTATGCACTATGTTCCAAGTCTTCAAGGAATATTCTTTAAAAAATCTTCTTATATGTTCCACAGTAGAAAGAAAGTCATACAAGTTTGGAAGGACATGAAGATGAGTAACTCTTTATTTAAATGTTTAACAAACTAAATTTAAAGAAAATGCAGGTGAGATGCATTACATATGTATTAAAAGAATTTTCAGGTCTACTACAATCTCTATTTACCGGATTATGAAACTGCTGTCTGGAGAATTGATCCCATCTAGTATGATCCTGGGAATGTCCGTTGCCTGGTCTGAGATGTGCAGGTGTCCTTGAACTGGAGTAAATGTCCTGCCAACGGTTCGAGGTGACTGCGTTTGGCCTGAGAGAGATGGTGTGCCCTCTTCTGGTGACTCCAGGATGCACTTGGTCCAGCCTTCTCTCTGGACTGCAGACCACCCCGAGATCCTCAGAGTGCTTGCAGTCATGAACACCCCATCCGTTCGACTTGCAGTCTTTCAGAGTTTTCTCCGTTCCTACACACCTCACATTATCCATCCAAATGGGGCCTGTGACAGATGTTACAGGTTACAAAAGCACTGGAACAATAAAACATCAGTTATGTGGCTTAAAGTGATAGTTCAACCAAAAAAAAAATAAATAAAAAATGTTGTCATTATCCAACCACCCTCATGTCATTTCAAACCACAATGACCTTCAGACTTTTCGGACTGATCCGGTTCTCGAGTTGTATAAAGCAATTATTCACCCAAAAATTTAAATTTGCTGAACATTTATTCGCTTTCAGCCCATCCAAGATGTAGATGAGTTTGTTTAATCATTGGAACATATTTGGAGAACTTTAGCATTACATCACTTGCTCCCCAATGGATCTTCTGCAGTGAATGGGTGCCATCAGAATGAGAGTCCAAACATCTGATAAAAACATCACAATAATCCACAAGTATTCCACATGACTCCAGTCCATCTATTCATGTCTTGTGAAGTGTAAAGCTGCATGTTTGTAAGAAACAAATCCATCATAAAGTGTTAATAATCCATAATTATAATGCTTCCCAAGTTCCTCCATTGAAAAAGTCCATCCCCCATTGTCCCTTCAAATCAAAATCAAAATCAAACCATATTTGTATAGAATGCTTTTGGACTGTTTTTACTTGTAAACAGCATGTGATCTGTGTGTATTTCTCTCCTGATTCAGACAAGATGACTTTGCAATAGTTTGAAGTTACCAGCATCTTAATGATTGATTTATTTATTGCAAACATGCAGCTTTTCACTTCACAAGACATTAATTGATGGACTGAAGAATTGTGGTGGATTATTCTGATGTATTTTATTAGCTGTTTGGACTCTCATTCTGATGGCACCCATTCACTGATCCATTGGTGAGCAACTGATGTAATGCAAAATTTCTCCAAATCTTGGATGACCTGAGGGTGAACTATTCTTTTAACATTCAAGGAAAAGATTATCAATGAATAATGATTTACAGTTTGGTCTGTTCATCACATATAGTTATTGTATGGGTTTGAAAGACTTGAAATGCAACACAAGTTACATGGACCACTTTTATGATACTTTTATGGTACTTTTTGTCATTTTTTAAGTTTAAAAGTTTCAGTCTCAAATCATTGTAATTGAATTTAAAAAAAAAAAACTATCATTATTTAAAGTTATTTTGTGTTCCACAGAAGAAAGTCATACAGGTTTAGAACAATGAGAGGATGAGTAAATAATGACAGAGTTTTTGGATGAACTGTTACTTTGAACAAGCCACTACCAGCTGTTCCATAAATATCATAAAAACACTTTTTTTAAAGAAATGGTACATAATACATATGCATAAAGTTGAAGTCTGCAGACTTCATGTACACAATACAAGTTAATATGGGACAGAAGCATCACCATCAAAAGCATTACAAAAGAGCTCTGGTGAAGCTGTCTGAAGGGTTTGTTTTAGTTTTAATGGCAGTGTTGTCTTGCCAACTAAGTGTTGTACATGCTCTGGGTTAGTGGCTGTCTTTATAGCTGCCTTAAAGTGAAATTACAGGGAGCGATTTGGGCGATGTAAAGAACAGTAGCTCTGTGCACTTGCACTTGTGAGAAACAGCTATTTAAAACAGCATTGTGCCTTCTTACACAATTGTGCTCAAGTCTTTCACGTAATCCACAGTTAAATGTGAAAATAACAGAGATTAAAACTCCTAAACCTAAGCTATTCAGACAGCAACTCTTTAAAATACTTAAAGCAATAGTTCACCCAAAAACATTTTTGGAGCTTGATGGCCCTCGGTTCATTTTCATTTATCAAAAAGAGCAGTACAGACATTCTGCTAAACGTCTCCCAAAGAAAGTAAGTCACACAGGTTTGGAACAACATGAAGGTAAGTAAATGAGGATAGATGAGGCTGATTAAAGATTTATAAGTCACAGTTCATGTATTTTAACAGAGAAATTCACTCACCTTCTCCCTCCCCGTACTTGGCACTGTGCGCCCATGTTATGCCACTTTGGAAACCCAGTTCCCTGCAAAGCACATTAGCGAGTTTAATGTCGACCTCATCGTCGCATACGGTGCCCCACGTCCCGTTGTGCAGGACTTCAACTCGTCCCTCGTTTTCTCTGTGGCCGATACCTGCCAGTCGCACTTTGGCAGCAGGAGCTCGCCTTGAGCGGCCTGGCGATTCGGGATGTGCATCCATGCATACAAAGAGGAGCGCAAAGACAAGAACACAAATGGGACAGATGGCCCGAATCATGATTGCACAGAGGTGAGGCTTCTGGAATAGAAAACAAAGAGTGTCATTGTTACTAAATGAACTACACAATGAAATTACCAGTAGTTTTTAAGTTGCATTGAGTGGGTTACAGAGATAAATTAAGCAGGTCATGTGATGTCAAAATGGCAGCCTCCATGAGGTGACCCACTACATGTGAAATAAAACAGCCTCTTTATCTGTGTTTATCAGGACATACTTAGCAAAAATACTTTTTAAAGAAAAGGTTTAAAATACTCTTTTAAGGAGCAGAACATTAAATAGCTCCATTAAAAAGATAAAGTGGAAAGACTTTTTTTTTAATCTAACAGGGTCCCACATTTCACTTAAAAATCAAAAGAAGAAAACGTAACAAATATTATACAATATATTATATTTATAATACAATAACATTTATAATAACAATATTTTGCATAAAGTCAATTAAGACTATTTAAAGATCATTGGGTCTTTTGCATTATGACTTTACCTACACAATTAAAAATTTTTATTAAATTAAATTAAATTAAATTAAATTAAATTAAATTAAATTAAATTAAATTAAATTAAATTAAATTAAATTAAATTAAATTAAATTAAATTAAATTAAATTAAATTAAATTAAATTAAATTAAATTAAATTAAATTAAATTAAATTAAATTAAATTAAATTAAATTTTAAGCTAATTCCAAAATTTAATTTTTGGTTTCATTTATATGACCCAGACATCGTCTTTGCAGGTTTTTGTGAGGTTCACCCCACAGATTTGTGCATATTGCATTAGAGCATGTGATGGATGGAAGAAACGTTTAGTAGAGGTATGATAACAGGAAAATTTATCAGGAAAGTTAAAATTAAGAAAAACAAGGGTCTACATTTTGTGTGCATAAATAGCAACATGATTATATAAGTATCCAACAACAAACAGGAATAACTAGCTATTACTTCACCATCTCTATGTGGAGACACATATTTAGAGATACAAATAGATATCAATGTATATACATAACATATTTTACCACATCCCAGTATTTATTCATAAACCAATAAATAAAACCCATTATGACATAAAGCATGCACTAGCAGAGAAGGAGAGAGACAGAGAGCACATTTTTAAGAACATCATTAGGAACCCAAGCAGATAAAGAGCACCAGTGAGTTAAAAGTCAAATTTCACTCACCTGGCAGTCACACATAAGTCACGTCAGTCACGGACTGAAGGAAAATGAATGAAGGAGAGAGTTGAACATACACTCTGTCCCTCTCCTCCCCCTCCCTCCATCACTTCTACATCCCTCCCACAGATCTCTCCATCTTTATTTCAATGCGTTTCACATAAATGCAGATGCAGCATATATTTTCACAAAATTGTGACTTTTTTATAAACAATTTAAATTTTTATACATTTTGATATAGTATATATGTAGATGACAGACAGACAGACAGAGACAGACAGACAGATAGAGAACACACACTCAAAACACACACACACATACATATATACACACATTCATATATAAAACTCACAAAAAAACATGTTTGTAAAAGTGGTTGATGCTAAAACAGTTGTTTGATTTCAAGTAAACTTTCACTTATTGTTTATATATATATATATACATATATTCTATACATGAGTAGAGGAGACTCATCTGAAGTTCAGTCTAGTATACCAACATATAAAACAGACAAGTGTCGATACATACAATTTACTTTTAACAAAGGTTAAGTAACATATCGCAAACATGAAGTTGATATTATCATTTGACAGTGGATCTCAAATTTTGATCTGTTCACACACACTTAAACTTCTTATGGCCAACTTTGTAACACAAAGCCACAGGAAGATCTCAGGTCCTGAATAACTCCATATGTCAAATTCCAAGTAACTAAAAGAAGCTGCATAACCACATAGTAGATGTTTCTTCAGTGAGGAGACCACAAACCTCAACTCCCAAAAAAGCAAGACATCCTTCTCTTTAAACCACAGTAAGGATTGTCTTAAATATCTCAACACTCATTTTCACCTCCATCCATAGTCCTTCACTCTATAGATAAAACAAACAGCTACTTGTTTTTATATGTACATGCTTTAAATGTTTGCATGTCTGTGAGTTTGTGACCAAATTAGCATGTTCTGTTGATATTCAGTGTATTTCAGTTTTAGCAAACCTCAGAAGGACTATTTTAGATTCATAGGAATATTTCTAACAAATCACATCCATAACTGTGTGCAAGGTGGGCTGTACCTCAGCAACAATTACCGTAACTTCCATGTACAGATTTAGAAACAAACAAGAAAAAAATGCGAGGGGGAAAAAATGCCCTACCATCTTACGAAAATATTTAACAGTTTCCTCAATTACCTAACCTCTGTTCACGTATTCGCTGTCAATTGAAAACTAGCAATTAAGTTGTTTTTGTGCCAAAGTTGGTGTGACTGTGTACTTGAATGCAGGTCCCTCCCACTGTGTAAACCAAGACAGGAAGGGGGATCCTGTTAGAGCAGCTAATCAAAGAGGAATCTTGCAAAATGACTGAAAGAGAGAGGAAAAAGTGCCAAAAATATACATACAGCACCTCAACAAGACTGCTATTACTACCTATATACATATGCATTATATCTGACTCATGGGTGGCATACGTGACATACACTACCAGCCCAAAAATTTGGACACACCTATTCATTCCTTATTGCTACTGTTTTTCCACATTTTATAATAATGGGAAAGCCATCAAAGCTATGAGATAACACTAACTGAATTATGTAATGACAAAAAACATTATATTTTAACTTTCTCAAAGTCGACACCCTTTGCTTCTACAGCTTTACTCAGTCAGCAATCACTTAACCAACTTCATGAGAATTTATGAGATAGTCACAGTGACAGATTGTGAGTTATAAAGTTGTACCTACAATTTATTCACATTTTGAAATACAGAGTTGCAGTTAGGAGAGAAAAGTTGCAATTGTGAAGTATAAAAACTGATTAGGAAATATATAGTCAGAAATTTGAGATATAAAAAGTCGCAACTGCAAAGAATAAAGTCGCAGCCATGAGATATAAAGTTGCTGTGAGATATAAACTAAATAATTAAATAAAATAATAAAAACAAAATATTTTTGTACTTAACATAGGCACAATTTATAAGTTGGGGGTCTGTAACTTGTTTGTTTGTTTGTTTGTTTTTGATAAATTAATACTTTTATTCAGCAAGGATGCATTAAACTGACCAAACGTGACAAAAGATTTCAATTAAAAATGCTGATATTTTTAATCATCAAAGAATCTAAAAAGGATGACGATTTCCAAAAAAAAAAAATTATGATAGTAAGAAATGTTTCTTAAGCAGCAAATCAGCATATTAGAATGACTTCTGAAGGACACCATGTGACACTAAACACTGGAATAATGACTGCTCACAGAAATAAATTGCATTGTAAAATGTACTAAAAGTAGAAAACTGTTATTTTAAATTGTAAAAATATTTCACAACATTATTGCTTTTACTGTATTTTTTTTTTTTTTTATAAATGCAGCCTTGGTGAACATTAAAAATCAAAATCAAAAACAAAAACAGTTTATATTTGTCTGCTAAGTCATTTCAAGCATTTAAGCACAAACCTTTAGCTCAAAATGTTTCTAAGAACACTGAAAAGAAATTTAGACGAGCAAAAGTCAAAGTCCAAACTTAATTTGACTGGTACAATGCTAATTCACCTACAGTGAAGTCTAGAAGCATCATTAGTGAAGAACACAGGTGATGATGTTCCTCAGCAAGTACATGCAATGTCTAATGGAAGTAGATGGCAAGTCCTCACTGACTGTCTGTCTGTGTGTGTGTGTGTGTGTGTGTGTGTGTGTGT